AAAAAGAACTATGAATTTGAGGACAAAAGTCCAAAGAAGATTGTTGGCTGTTTCTCCATTTATAAAGTCTGTGAGAAGGTTTTTCTTTCCATAAGGCTTTGCTGCTGGGGATGCCATTTGTTTCTGGTGGCTTTGTAACGTAACTAGGCTTCACACAAGAGAAGGGCTCCAGGGCCTTTTGCAGTTTCAGCAGTTTTCGCCTCTGTTCTCCAGCATTTCCTTTTATTCAGGCCAGGAATTCACTTTGGATGGTCCTTCTGCACATCTTGCCACTAGCCCTAATTAATAACCTGCTTCTAGAAATTCCACTCATTGTCTTTTTTTTTTTTTTTTTTTGATTTAAGAGGCTGTTCGGGATAATTACTGTCTTTAAAGTTTTATGAATCACAGTGTTTGACATCTTTGATGTTGATTGCTTTTCAGAAGACTGCACTTTTTGTTCTAATGTTCAATTTGTCACTGTTACTTACAAACAAATAAGAGATTTAAAACCTCAAAGATGCAGATGTTCTTTAGCTTTGTTGCCATCTGTTCTTCTGCCTACTGGATTCCAAGACTAACATTTGTGCATTTTAATGAAGCTACATTTATGTAATACATGATTATATAGAACAGAAAATAGATACAACAAAGTCTTTCATATAAGTTGATTTTTAAATCACTTGTTCATAGAGCAATATTTTTTCTGATGGTTTTTATTTTCATGATAAACTTATCTTTAACTATAGGGTTTGAAAGACCTGTTGTTTTGCTCAGTTATACATAAATTGCAGATCAGAAAACTGAGATTACCATAGAAATCTCCCAAGAAAAGCATATGATATGACCTTAATTTACTTCACAAATTTTACATTGTGGCATTTAAACAGCATGCTTCCTGGATGTCAGAAAGCCATACACTTACCTGTGCTCATTGAAGTTGTACATCAGATATTTTAATTCTTAATGTAGTTTGGTAGAAACCCGATTTCTCACGCCAACAAATTATTTTTTAGAATTGGCTCATTGAAAAGGGTTGAAATTTTAGGATTTCTGTAGAATAAAAGTCTGTCTGATTTATTACAATCATATTGGATTACTTCCCCATTTATCTAGATAATTTCTGTGTTTAAATCTTTGTGATATTTTTTGGTAATATTTCCTCAACAGGTGACAGGTTGAACTGCCCACCTTCTAGCTGGCAATTATCTAAACCTCTAACTCAGGCAAACACAAGTAACCAAGATTTTACAGGCACATCTTTCTGTTAAAAAATAGGTATTTCAGGCGGAAGTGTTGGTATCTGTTACAGCCTGTGAGATTACAGAGCAGTAAGTGCTAATTAAACCTTTATTTATATTCAAAAAGAAATATGCAGTCCTAAGTGCCTTCATCTGTACTGTAACAAAGTTTATAGTAAACACTGCTAATCCAGTGTGCTTAGAAGTGATATTTTGGGAGATAAGATTTCAGATACTCGTGGCTGCTCGTCTGTTACAAGATTAGCCATATTTTTGGAATGAAAGGCTTGCTCATGCTGCCTTGCCGTTCTCTCAGCACTTAAATTTATCTTCTCTTCTTGTCTCATCTCCCTGAAATATTTAGTGTTCTTTGTCTTCAGTACCAGTGTCTCTTGTCCAAAATCATTTCAGTGCATCCAGTTTACCACATACTTCCAGCAGGGTTGAGGCAAATCTTGATTTGGTGTAAATCACTCCAGCAGTTTTCTTAGGATTCTGTAACTTTGTGTTAAATCCTTATTTCTGTTTACCTATGCAGGGACTGGCCTCTGCTTTGGTGATTTTCTCTCTTCTATCCATCTTTTCTTATCCACTGACTACCCAACTTATACACCTTATTATATTAATGTCACGCTCTACATCCAACTCGCAGCATTTGAGCACATTAGTGACTCATTACAAACTGATATTATTAAATAATCTTTTCCACAGAAGAGACTGTCTTCTTTCTGTACCAAACCAGTCTCAAAAAGATTTTGGGCTAATATGTCCTTTGTCCAACCTCTCAGAGGCCAATAATCATGAATTATGATAGTCCAAGGAATCTGCAACAGAGTAGGCAGATATGATGCAAAGCTAATGAGTTCATGCCAACGTGGTCTGAAGGAGAATAATCGCATGTTCTCCAGTACCTGAAGCCTCAAGAGGTGTCAAAGACTGACCTAATATGCACCAAAAAATAGTGTTAGGAAGGAAGGGGTGCACTTTCTTCAAAAAATTGAGATTTCCAGAGCTTAATAAGACAACTACTACTTGAGAGTCCAGAAGCAAAGATATGCCTATACTATTAATAGTTTTTGAACCTCCTCGGCCTGAGTTGAGCTAATTCTACCTGTAGATAAAATCGCCACGACCTTTGTCAATTCCTGCATTTTCTCAGTCAGTGAATCCTGGGTACCTATTAGGAAAGCAAAGACACTGCATATTCAGAGTTGAAGAGTATTAGATGGCTGCTAATCAAAAAAAACCCAAACAAACAACACCACCCCCCCCTCCCCAAAACACAAACAAAACCATCCTTCTAATAAAATGTATATTTTGTTTCATTCACCCATGGCAGTAGGAAGAAGCATGTTGAAGGGTATGTCAGCATATTAGATGTGCACTGTCTAAACCAGTGAAAGGTCTTTTCAGTCTCTCTATTTCTGCACCATAAAATTTTCACTCTCTGGCTGCAGAAGGACTTGGTAGATGATGGAGTGCTGGCTGGTCATTGAATTCCCCTTGCTCCTTTATAAACCGTACAGTGTTATTGGCAACTTTTGGATATGTAAAGCACACCTAGTGAATGTCTGTTCTAATGTCTCTTAAATTCAAGTAGCATGGTTAACATTGTGTCCTGGCTTGAGAGTAAGGAAATATGGATACATCTTAAATCCAGTGGAATCTTATACTTTAAAGCACATAGCACTTGCTAAGACTGCTTCCTTTGAACACAGTATTTGGTTCACACTGCTCTTCAGGAACTCAGTGGAACTACTGATATATTTAAAACAAGCATTTGCGAAAATGCTCTGTTGGATCACGGCTTAAGGGTGGTAAAACACAAGTACACATCTCTTGCAGAAACTGAATGCCTGCGATGACAGGAACAGGAGCTAGACAAGGGTGATATTTCCATTCCAGCCCCATCAGATCTTGCTTCCTCCCCACTTTCTGATACTAGCCAGGCAGTTAGAGCCATCTCAGAGTCCTGTGATGCTGCACTGCATCCACCAGAAATCAAAGTGGAAGCCCTGCAACGCGAGAATTGCTTAACTAATCCAAATTGCCAGAGGAAGGAAAAGCTTAATGCTTCTCGCTTTTTAAGATTCTTTGTTGTGTCTTTGTAATTGTTTGGTTTTAATTACACCACAAAGTTTATCTGCCGTGCCTGTGAACAGAACACACACATGCAGAGCTTCTCTTTCCTATTGGCTTCAGGCTGCTAATTTTGACACCTTTGTAATAAATCTGTTGGCTCGATGCAAAGCCTCAGGCTTGGCAGGACCTCAGGAAATCAACAGAGGAGGTAGCAATCCTTGTAAGAACAGGCGTTCCAAAGGCGATAGATTAGGAATAATTTCCAACTGAGCTAACCTATTTAAAAGTAGCAAGTACATGAAAAGGGAAAACGGTTAGAGTGCATTACCAGAGAAGTGTTACTCCTTGTGAAGTGAATTTCAGCACTTAAAACCATCTTTCTGAATGCCTGTAGTATTTACGACCCAGCCTTGAAGGGCCAAATACAATCTATGGAAATACCACATAATTTCCACCACCCCGTGTTTCCTATTGGTTGGTTCTATACCTTCAGAGTTGCAAAGCCAATTAACAAAAAAAGTGATTTCTCCTAAAGAATCTGGAGGGGATGAATATTTATGACCAAATTTGTGGTGCTTGAATTTACAGCACAGATCCCCTAAGCTTCAGAGTTTATAAAATAAAAGAAGTAGGCACCTTCATGGGGTAATTCAGAACTTACAGCTGGGAGATAGGTGGTGATAACTATTGGTGATAACATTTTTCTTAAGTGTTTAAATTCTTGGTTCCTGCTGGAATATCATTGTCCTTACAGTTTTCAGTATGAAAAAATTGGGGCCTAAATAGCATTGCAGAACCTAAATAGATCTGTTATTTGGGGCCAAAGGGGACAGATTAGATTTTTCATGTACTTAATAGAAGGAGGTAAACTCCTAGGCAAACTCCTAGTTCCAGCTTCTTAAAATTTAAAACTTTCTTCTAAGATCCACTCTCCCCACACCCCTCTACTGATCCAAGTCAGCAGAAGGACACCTACCCTTCAGAAGGGTAATTCAAATTTCAAGTGACCCTTTATAGATTTTTTTTTTCTCTCTAGTGACTAAAGGAAATTTGGGCAAGTATGCTCATATCTTGGAAACTCATAGTAAAATAAAAAAAAAAAAATCCCTTTTGTGGAGGATAGACTGATATTTCCATAACAATGATTATTAAAGTAATATGACTGGTTTTCCCTGGAATGCATATCTGTCTGCACTATGTACACAAAAGAAGCAGGACAGTATTTACATTGCAAGAACTGCTGATGAATATAGTTTTTCTTTTTTGAGAAATCTATCCAAAATATTCTGCATTACTATTGGGTTTGTAAAGAATTCTTGCAGAACAACTGATTGCAAAAATTAGCATCACAGGGAACAAGAAATCACATGATATGGACATATGTTTTCACAGCATTCCAGCTGTAGAGCTGGTGAGAGAACTTTGCGAACAGATTTGGGTATAATTAGGAAATTTCACTCTCTGAGCTCAGAAGTGACTACTGGAGCTACTTACAAAAAAGGCTATCCTACACTGTTTTGGGGGCGGGGGGGAAAAAAAGAAAAAAAGACTTTGTCGTTTTTGTGGTAAGATCAAACTGTGGAATCAAGACTAAAGAAGCACAGTCAGTACTGTGCTACCATCAAATATCATATGTTAAAACTCTTCGTATTTGTTTAATATTTAAACAAATGTTTTTGTTTTGTTTTGTTTTATTAGAATGATATGGGAGGTCAAAGGAGCCTAATAAACAAGTGGACTACTTTTCTGAAAGCCAGGCTTGTGTGTTCAATACCTGGTCCTGAAGGAGCAGACACACATTTTGATGAGCTGCGTAAGTTTATTTATCTTTAATGGTCTATTTTGACATGAGTTTGGTTGGGGTTTTTTTGTTGTTTGTAGAAGCACTATGTCTTGTTCTGATTTTACTTCTCTTCCAAACAGTGCTGGTAATATATCTGACTTTTATCAGAAGTACCTGATTACAACTGGAATTAGTCTGATCAGAAATATGGGGGTTTTCCCTTTCACTCAAAAAGCTGGAAAGTGAAAGTCTGATTCTGTACAAAAAACAGACTATCTGCAAATGGACAAACTTCAGAATATTAACACAAATTCACATGGCAGAAATTAAAATTCAGACAAAAAAAAAGCTTTGTTGTATAGTTACAAATCTCCAAATTATAAATGGTAAATGCAGAAATATTCAGTGGATGTCTAATTAAAAAAAAACCACAACATTTTTCCCATTGCAGAAGATATATTCTTACTTTCTACAAGAGATGAGAGAAACCCGCTTGTGTATGGAGTCTTCACTACAACAAGGTATGTGTTAGGATCACGTTTGTCTCTGGAAACAAATGCTGAATATCTTACTCAGGCCCTTCTATTACTAGATCCTGATTCCTGAGAGCAGTGACAGACTGCTTGAATAAAGCTTGCAATATTGGGGCTGTAGTCACTAAGGACAATACTTGCAGAAATGGAAATATAAATGACGTCGCTAAGCCTTTGTGTGTGTGACTTTTGAGAATGATTGTAAAAAATAATGAAAATTTAACAATCAAAAACATGCTAGTTTATTTCAACCTCATTTAGTTGAATTTACAAATTTCAATCGTATTTATTGAGCAACCAATAGTTACTATTTAAGACAATTCATTGTTGTGAAGCATTATTTCTGTAAGCAACAACTTGATATCAGCTGTTTCTTAGGTTCAGAACCCACTATGCTTTAACATGATATTTCAGTGTTTTAATAAACAGGTGTTGATGGAAGAATAGCCCGTCTTTATCTTGAGGAGATAGATTAATTAATTAATGAACCTCTCAGCTGTGATAGTGAGGTGCTCTATATAGAGTTGTCAGAAAGGAAATAAAAAATTCTTTCTTTTGTCTCCAGAACCTTTGAATTAAGTGTAAATAATAGGGACTAGCCAACCGCTGAACAGTATGAGTACAATGAAAAATTGCCAAGGCACTCCTTAACTCAGAAGCAGCCACTGTGGTGGCTCCATAGAATATATAACCACATAAAATATTTAAAATTGAATTAAATGTTGCACAATGAATGAAATGGCATATGAATTAACTAAAATACATGTAACTCAACAATCTGGCAAGGTGTTCTTTGGAAAATCGAACTATTTGGGTTTTTTTTGAGAAAAATATGTAAGGAAAAGAAAAAAGACATAGAAAAAGAAATAAATGTTTATTTCTATCTCTTTTTATTGTCTGTCCAAAGCAACTTGTAATTCTCAGACACATCACCTGCAATATCACTAATATACAGGCTTCCAGATGTGAACACATGTAAAGGAATGTCCTTCATTTACAGAAAATTCTAATCAAAATAGCTAATAAATGATAGCTGGAACCTGTCAGCAGTCTATAAAGTGGTCCCAAAGGCTAAGTCCAGGTTTCAACTGAGCAAAGCTTTAAACTGTAATGACAGTGACATTAAATATTGGTATTTATCAGACCTGTACACATTGTCTGTTACTTAGCACCACTTATATCAGCTCTCAGGTGTAGGACTGATCCAAATCCTGTTAGACTCCATGGAGTTAGTTAAATCACTGCATGAGGCATGCGCTGAAGGAGTGTTTACAATATGCATATCAATCCATTTTCTTTTTCAGTTCTGTCTTCAAGGGCTCTGCAGTTTGTGTGTACAGCATGGCAGATATCAGAGCTGTTTTCAATGGCCCTTACGCTCACAAAGAGAGTGTGGATCATCGCTGGGTACAATATGAAGGTCGCATCCCATATCCCAGACCTGGTACAGTAAGTGTCTCCTTAATTACATACTTCTATTTTTACTCAAAACCAATCATACTTCACACCCCTCCCCAGATTGGTATTTTATATTTTCCACTCAGGATGTTTCAAATTATCCTCTCAACCGTTTCCATTCTGTTGACAGCTCAGACTTCTACCTACCCTTTATATGTTTATATATATAAATATATATTTTTCCGTGTCTCTGAGATAACATTGTATCCAGACTGTTTATTTCCTGATTGTCTCTCATATTGTGGTCTCCTACTGTACAGCTGTACAGTCTGTTGGGATCACCTCTAAGGCATCAACATTTTGTAAAAAGCCAAAGTCATTTCTTTATGAAGTATTAAATTATGATGAGGTATTTCATTTGAAGTCTCGTATTTCTGTTATCTCTGTGCCTGTTAAAATCCTGTTCCTTGAGATATGGTCATTGATTCTATGATGTGTGTTTGTGCACGTGTTGTGTTTTGAAGTAAAGTAAGGAGTTAGTTGCTGGAGATTTTAAGTGATGAAAGATAAGTGATAGGAAGAAAAGAGAAGTTTAATATCAGGAAAAACCTCTAAATCCCAATTTCTTAGACTTCAGATGTAACAATCAGGCCAAAACAAAGAGAAAAATTGTGAAAGTGTTATTAAAGAGTTCTTCCTGTACTCTGTCTTAGTATTAAATTTGGAAAAGCATGGACCTACATTACAGCTGAGGAAGAAAATGGTATTTCCAAAATATGCATCTACTTTAAAAAAGTCATCACAACTTTAAGCAACTCTTTGTACGTATAATGTAAAAGAGCAATGATTTAAGAGTAAGATAGATATTATCCAGGATAGCTTTACATTATCTTGGTCAGGTATTCAGTGAACAAGTACTAGGCAGCTGCACAGATCCAGCCAAGTACTGAGCAACTAAGGTTGGACTGCTGCTGGTACCTTGCCTAGAAGCCACTGGGGTGTTTCTGCACTATTTCTCTGACTGGTGTAACTAGTACTGGTGTAACCTTTGCTTCAAGCCACATTATCTAGCTTATTTTGCTCTTCTTTTCACACCTTTCCTTGTGACTTTGTGTTTTCTTCATCATCCTTCCAATGGACCCAAATGCACGGTCCAGGTCCATGCTGTTTGCTGCACTCCATGGTCCCGGGCTTCAGCTGGTCAGGCCCTGAGCTCTGATTCCCTTCTCTCAACTGCAGGCGAGTCGCAGAGGGCAGCTCTCTCTATAAAGACTAAGGCAGCTCCAGAGACTGATTTGGCCTGCCTAGGATCTGCACTGCTGGAGCAAATGTGTTCCTAATTTAGACAATTTAGACACTGTAGGCTTGTGCATCTCTCTCTCATGCAAAATATATAGTGCCCCCAGAAAAGAAGATTACATTTAATTTTTTTTTTTTTTTTAAGCATGTGCAACTCCATTACTGGTAAAGGAGTGCAGATGAATTCAGTTTTAAGTACAAAAATGGTGCCAGTGAGAACAATAGCTGGTCCCATGGCATCTAAAGAGATTAAAATAACTCTCTTGAAAAACTCGGAGTGCCCCATAAGGATGAACACTCTGCACAGATAGACGGGTCATAAGCTCATTGCATTTTTGAGTGTATTAACCATCACATGGTTGAGCTGGGATTCACAAGGAAGGAAACATGTCATGCTGAAGCATGTCAATGCTGATCTTTATCACCGATTTGAATATCCATGCTTGCAAGAATTTTAAAAGTTGGAAAGTTTAAAGATAAACGGACGTTTAGCTGCTCCTTAACTCTCCAACTGCTTCCTTTAAGCACCTGATAACAGCTGTGAGAAAACAGTCTCATAAAAATCCTTGGGACCTTCATACCAAGTGGATTTCTGTAGGAGTTTGTCTGACCAAGGACTGAAAAGGGAAGTGGATTTTACTGAAGAAAGCTCTCGGAAGAAAGATATCTGTAATATTTGCTATGTAGATAAGGTAAATGTATTGCTGCATAGTTATTTATCTTTTGTCTTAGTGAGCTGTACTACTCTCAGGCTTCAACATACTTCAGGCTCAATTTAATATAGGGTATCGAAGTAAGTAGATTCATGCCGTGCTTTCATCTTATAATGGACTATGCCAAACCTCTGGATATGAGCAGATTTAGGCTGGGATCTGAAAAAGTAGCGCAGTGCTCAAAGGCAAGGAAAAGAAGCAGCATGCTACACCCCTGCAGAACACTGCAGTGTGAAATGTTCTTCCTTAAAGATTAATTTCATCATTTCTTGCCAGCTATGGGGTGGTTCAGGAATGCTCAGAACAAAGCCAAAAAAGGCATAATCTATCCTTTTTTAAGTAACTAGAACATTTTTGAAATTTAAGCTCTACCTAAGTGTTGCCTACAGTTACCGTAGCTAGCACTGCCCTGATTTTATATTTCTTATATTTGAAGTTACTGGCAAAGTCTAAAAATGGCTATACTAGGAAATGAGTTTCCTTTGATGTTTGTCTTTGAGAGAGGCATCGACTTCCTTTCAGCATTTATACAGAAGCAGGAGACTGCTTACCCTAATTTAACTTTCTGCTCAGCTGCCTTTATCTCCTAAGTAAATAAAGCTGTTCACTATAGAGGCTGTGACCACTTTGATATTGAAATTTTGACAAAATGCTTCCTGTGGCAATTTGTGTTGGAGATAAACTCCCAACGTGACCATGATATCATGCCTTGGCAATGCTGAGCAGCGTGCAGGCAGCAGGAGCCCCGGCGCTGCGGCGCGGTCCGCCTGCCCTCTGGCGTCGTCGGGAGACCCCCGAACAGGGTGACGGGGGAACAGACACGCTGCACGCCACTGATGCTGCCAAATGTACAGCTCTTTTCCTCTAACTTCTCCCACAGGTGTTAAAGAGCAAGTGGAAATAATGGGAATTAAACAGAGGCAAGGCTTCAAATCTATTTCAGTTTGGAAGCTGAAAAAAAAAAAGACAGAAAAAGCATGCAGCAGGCAGCCCCGCCACAAAGGGCGATTTGAAAACCAAGGGAGCATTTGCTCTGTCTTCTTTAGCTGTTTAAAAATTGGACTTGCATATCTGCACTTCTTAGCTACAAGGAGAAACAGTCCAGCACATCATTGCTTTTGTCCATTTGAAGAGTTTTATGTCTCAGCTCTTTCCAATCCAGATCTGAATATGGCCCTGAACTCCTGAGTTCTTTGTGTATTTTTTTTAAAACAAGTTCCTTACAAGCCCTCAGATTCTCCTGTGATCTTTTTCGTCTTTTTCTCTACTGCTTTTTCTCCCTTTCTTCAGTGAAACCCCTTCCTTTATTTCTTCTGCTAGTCCAGTGCACAAGCTGATCGAGATGTGGTGTCCATCCATTGGGACTTGGCTGAGCCACAGAGAAATACTGTCTGCCAAAAAGCCTCCCCCTGTCCTCCCATCTGGTTAGTTTTGCTGCTTTAATAAGTGTGTTCATAAAACATTGAGGGTTGCACTGGTTTCCCTTGTTATTTTTAGACTTATCTTCTTCTTTCACCTGATCTTTTATGGGGTAGACTGCATTCTTTGCTTCTCCAATTCCTCTCTCCTTTGATCTCCCCACCGTAAATGGGGCGGCTTAATTAAGTGAAATGTTTCACTTTGTGGGTTTATTTTCCTGAGAAAGCCTCCTCCACCTCCTCTTACTTACCAACCCGTTTTCCCCAACATGAATCACCTTTCAATTCATAGCAGCCTTTTGAAATGCTGCGAACCCAGTCACCTTTCCCGCTGGCAGAAGTCGGCAGAGAATTGCAAAGTGCCACCTGCAAAGTCAAGTTCACTCACCTAGTTGGTCTCAGCCCAGTTAGCCTCAGATTAATGTTCTCTAATGCTATCGACAACACAGTTTGTTAAATGGAAAAGCAATAAAAAGTGCTCAAGACAATCACTGGAACAGGGTAGAAGAGGAGAGAGGATGAGAGGAAATGGCCTCAAGTTGTGCCAGGGGAGGTTTAGATTGGACATTAGGAAAAATTTCTTTACTGAACGAGTGGTCAGGCCTTGGAACAGGCTGCCCAGGGAAGTGGTTGAGTCACCATCCCTGGAAGTGTTTAAAAGATGTGTAGATGAGGCGCTTAGGGACATGGTTTAGTGGGCATGGTGGTGTTGGGTTGACGGTTGGACTGGATGATCTTAGAGGTCTTTTCCAGCCTTAATGATTCTATGATTCTAAGAAATCTCTCGCATCCAGTGGGATGCACACGCTATCTTAAAAAAAAAAAAAAAAGGGCACTTCAATTTCTTTGTAGGGATTTTTTTGTTTGTTTTGTTTGTGCTTTTTGTGGCAGGGGTGGAGTGAGGTTGATTTCATCTAAAATTTGCGCTGTTTGTTTGTCTCCTGCAGAACCTGACTCATTCCCCTCTCCCCTGCCCCCTTGCTCTGAGTAGCTGCAAGGTTAGTGTGAAAGTCTCCCTGCTGAGTGTCCAGTCCTTCTGGCACAACCCATCCATCCTGTAGACAAGCACTAAGGTTTTTTGCAGGCATGTCCAAATGCAAAATGTGTTGTGCAGCTCTGATCAGACTACAGAGAAGAAGCCACACGGTATTTAGGCCACTCAGGAACCCAAGTTGCATCTTCAGAATGGTTTATGGTTGAATCTCCAATGGCACATAAGTGCCTACTCCGTGAGAGTCATCTCTCCGTTGTCATCTAATCCACAGAAGATCATAAACCTATAAGTACCCCATTTTTTAAAGTACTGCTGGGCATCTTGGAAGCTCACACCAGTCCTCAGTGTTACATGTAACATTACATGTTAACCCCTCACTTAACCCTCAGACTTTGCATCTCTTTATAAACTCTACAAATAAAGTTCAATGTGTTGGGTGTGTGGGAGGTCCCCATTTAATACAGAAGTGACTAGCTGAAGGTAGTTCTGTTTCTCTGCTTTTTGCTTGATTGATCAGTGATAAGGGAACTTATTTAGAGCTTGGAAGACTTTACATTACATCGTAGGAGAATGCTGACTACAAGGCCATCTCTCCTTGCTAGTTAAATATTCGTTCACTGAGAGCTT